TTTCTGGGACGAGCAAACTATTATCAAATCTATATACCTAATATTCATAATTTGAGGGCTTAACTGAATAATTTGCTTTAAAAAGACATAAAGTGGAATTAGACGTTTGAAGACATTTGAAGAAATTAAGAAAATACTAATGTCAGTCTTATCCTTAGTGCACTAAGATCAAAAAGTAGAAATCATGGTGGCTTCAGATGCTAATGACAATGGTATAGAGTCAGTAATTCTACATAAATATTATAACGGCAGCATGAAAGCCGTCGCACATGCTTCGCGTTCGGCAGGAAAAAACTACAGTCAGATCGAAAAAGGGGCGTTAAATGAAATCTCTCAAAAGAAGCTATGTATACTAAACCGAAATGGATCAAGACATTGGAAAACTAGTAAAAGCCTTCAGAGGTTTTGCTCTACCACCAAAATTACCTACCACGAAATTACAATCTCAGCCAAAGATAGATATTCCGTGGTCAAGGCTGCACATAGATTTCGTAACTCCAAGTGTACCGCGAAATATTGTCACGGCATACATATATATGTTTCTGGGGAGATGAGTAGTAATAGTACATCGTTAGTATTTGAATAAGTATTAAACTTTTTTTCAAATAATTCTTTTCGCTATTCTTCGATTATGTTATTTTAAACATTCGACGGTATCCACTGATACGTTTTGGATTTCAATACAAAAGGAATATCCCGCATTATCTAAAAAGGCTTTATCAGTTTTATTGCAATTTTCTACTTCTTATTTATGGGAATTAATGCTTCTCAACTCTAAATAACATCAGAAATAAGAAACGAGAAAGACTACGCTCAACTGAAGATGAAATGAGAGTCTGCTTATCACACATTCGACCAAAGGTTGAAGAAATCGCGATAAAACACCAGGTATAGATTTCAAACTAAATAACCTGCATAAATAGTTTAATAGAAACATTGAAATAAAGTAAGTTCCTATTTGTGTGTGTATTTTTTTAAAAATCTATGGTTTTATTTCATAACATTTAAATGAATACCCTTTAAAAATGTTGCTATGTGTGCTGCGATATTTTCAATTTCATCTAAGTGTGCTATTGCTTAAAAAAGTTAAGAAACACTGATATAAAGGATTTGTAGATCTTAAGCAGCACATAGTGAATGATGTTCTGCTAATAACATGTAAAGTGTTTTGTTTTTATAAAACTAGCCGAATTACCCACATTTTGCTGCGTATCACACATTTTTTGTAAGAAAATGATGATTGATTTTAAATCATTGTTATAACTTGTGGAGAAAAATGGTGTATTTCAATATCACTCAATGATCTTGCTGAAGTGACCTCCATCTTCAGGCTTTCTCCTTCTATATTTTAAATAGATGCCATTATCTTGTTCAAATTTAAATTTAACTTGAATCAAGCGGAAAAAATTCAGTGGGGGTTTATGTAAAAACTGTGTGATCTAACCTCTTTTATATGTATTTGATGCAATACTTGATCGAATGAATTGATGAGAAAATTTCAACGTTCATATGACAGTTGAATTGTCGCAACAAATATGTATTGTAAGGCACTACCCACTGTTTTTTGATTTCTTGCTCAACTTGACGTCCATATTGCCTCATTTTGATCTTGCCGGTGTGACCTCCATCTTCTGGCTTTCTCCATCTATATTTTTGATAGGGATCATTCCTTTGTTCAAATTTAAATCAAAGGGAAAAAAAATTCAGTGGGGGTTGTGTTTTCCGGGGACCCCATTTGATCAAAATGAAATATACTTATCAAAATAACAAGGGTAATGTAGTTTCAGAATATAGATGGTTAAGGGGGGGGGGTCTATCTCCAAAACCGTAGGAGGAGTTCGATAACAAACAAACAGATTGAGGTTACAACTTTATATATAGATGTAAAGTATTTATACCCGTCTATTGAATTTCGGTGCTTCAAAATTTCCTGCGACCTTCTGACAATTTCATGAATTTTTTTTTTTTTTAGTCTTATATCCACAATTTAGACAGAGGCTATACATCATTATCAGAATACCACGCCCACAATTATATTTTGACCAATCGCTGACCATCCTGTATTGTGTAACAAAATGGAGTATGCTGAGATTCAATTTTGGGTCTCATCAGGAAGAGTCACCTGAAATTTATGGGACACGTAATGAGAAAGGAGGGCTTGGAGAACCTGATACTCATAGGTCCAATAGAGGGAAAGAGAGACAAGGGAAAACAACACATGTCATATCTGGCGGGCTTTAGCAAGTGGATGACAGAGCGTGATCTGGGGAGATGACAGAGGGACGAAACTTATTGAGAGCTACAAAGGATAGGGTGAAGTGGAGAGCAATGATCGCCTACGTCCTGAAGGGACACAGCACATAAAAAGAAAGCCAGAAAGGAAACTTTTTAACCACTCGCCCATACAATTACTGTCCACTCGTAGAAACTGAACAAGGTAAGAAACAAAAAGACATTTGTCTTTATTACGGCGTGTATTTTGTTCGCTATCACGTTGTCTGTTTGTTCTACATACCACGATCTACCTTCATGCCCGTCCTGGGTATAACAATAAACTACATCCGCGTCCAGGATAAGACGATAGACTACATCCGCGTCCTGGGTAAGACGATAAACTACATCCGCGTCCAGAGTAAGACGATAAACTACATCCAACAGCAAGGCCTCTTATCAGGAGGTTCTGAGGACAGTTGAACCTATTCTTAATTGCTGGTGTTCCCAGGTACACCCTGCATTAACCGTGTATTGAACTCACACTCCTTTATCCACTGTGCCAGTGGATAAAGGCGTTAGTTAGATCCAGTAACACGACCCAAAGGATGTGAGTTCAATACCTGGTTAAGGCAGTGGAGAACTTGGAGAGGGGAATTAACAGGAGATAACTGATAACTGACATCCATTAAAACATGGCACGTGGAACTAGAACAGTCTACCCCAGTGAGTGAAATAAAGGGTTCAGTTCGACATTCCAACCACCTGAAGAAGGGAGGAGCGTACAACAGCCGAAACGTTGTAATAAATATGGCGACAAAGATGAGGACAATAGTCTGAATAATGTAAATTATGTCTAGCTTTTTTGTTATCAATAGAACATCGAGGTTACATTTCTTTGGGAAGGCGATAATTAAAAAGCAACATATATTTGTAATAGTCTTAAATTTCTTGAAACCGTATTCTCCTGATTTGGGTTTAAGCTGACACTTTCTTTATATATCTGAACTATAGGTCGATTTTATTTTGATACGTGAAAATTTCACTGAAATTTTGGAAATTTCATCGGAAATCAAGAAAATAGGACCCTTAAAAAAATGGTCACAATACAGGCATACCTCGGGTTACGTCGTTTCGAGTTAAGTCGTTCTCAATTATACGTCGTTTGTCAAAAAAAAATATATGGAAAAATAAAAATCAAGTTTAAGTCATTTTATTCGACTTTACGCCTATTCGCCACAAATATTGAAGTCGTAATATCACTAGAAAAACGTTAAAAGCACATGTTACTGTACAATACATAAGAATAAAAGAATATAAAATCATATTAAAATATGTACATTTATAGTAAATGTTAATATAATCATCATAAATCCTAGAGAATGAAATATGAAAACATCCATGACCCTGTGTTGTCGTCTAATTTAGCGGTCGTTATATTGGCGTTTTCCACGGTAGTTTCAATATCGGCCGTTTGGTGTCGGTGTCGTTGTCAGCGCCACTCGTGATTCCCGCGAAATTGAAATCCAGTTTAGTTTAGGAATACGCACGGTATACTTCTGCTTATCGCCTACTCTCTCTTTCTCATTCATTTGTGACTTTATAATTTAAAAAGAGGAAAATTTTTTGAAGAAATGGAACAGTTTTTTTCTGTTAGGATTGATAGGTTGAATCCTCAGGGTGCTGCTATTAGTCTAGAAATCATTCAAGCGAAAGCGTTGTCTTTGTTTGAGGGCCTGAACAAAAATACCCAGATGACAAAGATGTAGAGTTTAAAGTGAGTCAAGGCTGGTTTATGAGATTTAAAGAACCAAGACGTTATCACTCTATTAAGAAGCAAGGTGAAAGTGCATCAGCTGACGAACAAGCAGCAGCCGATTTTCCTAAAGCATTGGCTAAGATCATCGAAGAAAACGGGTTTCTTCCTGAACAGATTTTAACGTTGACGAAACTGGATTATATTGGAAAAAATTGCCAGACAGTTCTTTCATTGCTAATACTAAGCGTAAGGCTATATCGCTGATAAATTATTTTATTCAGAATACTGTACGTACATATCATAATTATAATGTAATATGCAATGGGGAGTGTTTATTTGCGGTTTGTAGTGTGGTTATTTCGACTTGAGTCAAAATCCTCCTCGCATCAGTTTAAATTGACATCTTTCTCTACATACTTAAACTATAATTATAAATTATAATTTCAGGAAAGGAAGATTTCACTATAATATATTGAAAATTGTCCAAGTTTTTATCTGAAATCAAGAAACTACAAACTTCAGGCAAAACAGCCATAATAAAAAGAAAAAAAAAGACGTGGCAATTTGCACTGACGTCATCGACTACTGGTTGATAATGGGAATGTTTCATCTAAAAAAAACTTCAAAAGACAATTATATTGACTAAAACTACTGTTCAGCGTAAAGGTCGTAGAATATTAAAACGACCACTGTGCTGCAATAAAAAAGCAAGAAAAACTAGACAAAACTGAATAACTAGATCGAGCCATTACTTGGTTGTTTGATTAATTCGTTTTTTACAGCTTATCAACCTTTTGCGGGTTATTCAAAGCCAGAAAATATTTTCAGATAATAAGAAATTTTTTTGGTGATAATAATGTTTAGCGTCTTACTAATTAACCCATAGCTTGGGAGAAGAAGTGAATTCATACTTTTCCCAAGCGTACTTGCGCGCAAGTAAATATAACGAACACAACGGTCATTGGAACTCGGTTTCCGATTAATAATTCCGAGCTAACCTTCATTGCACCACCCGCACATGGATGCTTATATCACTTGGTATTCCCAAGCAGTCACTCATTTAAGTACTGACCAGGCTCGACGTTGCTTAACTTCGGTGATTGTATAGTAACTGGTGTTTCAACGTCATGTGGCCATAGGCAAGTGAGACGAACGATATGATTTATGTAAAATAATAATAATAATAATAATTCTCCTCCTCCTTCTTCTTCTTCCTCTCCTTCTTTTTCTCCTCCTCCTCTTTCTTCTTCTTCTTCTTCTATTTACTATGTCCCTTCAGACGATCATGGCTCTGTACAATTACCAATCCTTTCTCTGATATTAACATTATGGATTGATATGATTGCTCTTTGAATTGATAGTGAAGTGGTTTCTCGGTGACTTCTTCGCCAACTCTAGTTAGCCGGCCATTGACTCATCAAAAAAAGTTCTACCTTGCTTTGATAGGTCTTATCATGTACTAGAGTTAGCCAGGCTCTGTTTCTTGCAGAAAAATCAAACTGTATATCTTCTCAGCGTGAGAAAGGTTTCTTTTCGTGGTAATCAACAGAGAAAGGCATATAGTCAGAATTGGCTGCTTTTATTACTCTATGGACTAAATAGTAGTACAGACTGGGTTCTTTAGCCTTAGTTGGCAACCAGACTAGGAGAAATTCAAAACCGTATGGTATCCCACATACTATGCAGCTAACGAAAGGATCACGAAATTTACAATAACTCTATCCACCTAACTGTGTTTGTTTAGTCAATTAATCTTCAGTTATTTACCCTTACTAGCGAAACTCTACTAACTACTTGACAGGCTTGGTTTTGTTTGTTTTGTTTTACGACATATCAACACCTCAATGGGTCATTTAATGCCGACAAGGTTTTTATTGCTGGTAATATTTTTTTCAAAAATATATTGTTGGAAATTTTTTTTTTTTTCAAAAATGCATTGCTGGTAATTTTTTTTTTTCAAAAATGTTTGGCTGGTAATTTTTTTTTTTTTTTTTTTTTTTTCAAAAATGTATTACTGGTAATTTTTTTTTAATCTATTGCCGGTAAAAAATTTTCAAAAAAAGTATTGCTGGTATTAAAAACTATTTTTATACTTTCATAGTGTTTTGACCGCTTTTGGGCGAGGATTAACTATTTGCCCATTGCTGAGACCCTGACAGGTGCTACCACCCCGGATCAGGGTGGACCTGGGAACACCAACAATTAAGAGGTGGTCCCATGTTCCTCAAAAACTTCTGATCAAAGCCTTGCAGTTGGATGTAGTTTATCGTCTTACCCAGGATGCGGGTGTAGTTTACCATCTTACCTAGGACGTCTACTTGTCAGTAAAGGAAAGCGAAAGAGGAAATGAGTGAAAAAGAGACTTCCATATCTTTTTTTTCTAGGTCTTTCCTCGTAATTTCCGATGCGCTTGTTCGCTAAGAGGCAAAAGGTTTTATTGAAATGTTTTAAGGAGAAATTCCTTTTATAAGAAAATCTTTTGCTTTCTCCCTAATTGATAATTCTTTATGCCCAGGGAATTATCAATTAGTCGAATTATTATAATAGTCGACAAAAAAGGAATCTATCCCGCTACATGGCTACGTTAATAAACGAAAACGCTTTCTTTAATTTTGTAATGATTTCTGGGCTGACATCAGTAATTGACTTTGAAATTAACTTATATTTATTGTATAATTGGTCAGAATCCTTTCTTTCAAACATGTTTCATTAAACAGACAAGGAAAATTTGATTGATTCTTTATTGAGCTTTTCTCGTATTCTTAAATTTTTCCATTTGGTGGGTGTAGGAGAGTGAAAAAGTTGTCCCTAGTGTCTATTGTCCCAAGAGCTTTCGGCCACTTCTTTAGCCATTTTCAAGTGGTTTGTTTTTAATTGTTGTTAATTTCTTATCACGGTTGTCTTTTAAGATGTAATTCTGTGATGCATATTGTATAAGAGTTGAGTTTATTACTTGCCAAATGAAAAGAACGTGGCTGGAATTTGACAAACTTTAACATTCGTTCATATCTATCTATCTATCTATCTATCTGGGTTAGTTCATATCTATCTCTGTCCGTTCATATGTATCTATCTATCTCTGTCCTTTCAGATAGATAGATAGATAGATAGATAGATAGATAGATAGATAGATAGATAGATATTCTATATTCTGTATTCTATAGATATATTCTATTCTGATTTATCTATCTCTCTATTTCTCTATCTGAGTTGGTTCATATCTATTTGTCTCTGCCCGTTCATAGGTATCTATCTATCTATCTATCTATCTATCTATGTCCGTTCATATCTATCTATCTATCTATCTATCTATCTATGTCCGTTCATATCTATCTATCTATCTATCTATCTATCTATCTATCTATCTATCTACTAGTATTAATCTTATTTTATTTAACAATGGAAACAATGTGCTAATTTTTTTTTTTTTTTGTAAATAGGAGACCACCTCAGATTCCAGCCACATTCTTTTCACGTGACATGTAATAAACTCTACCCTGCACCAAACAATTACATCTTAAAAGACAACAGTAAAAAGAAATTAACAATAAACCTCTTGAAAATGGCTAAAGAATAATTCTTTATTGAGTTTAGTATTCTAAATTCTAGTATTCTATTCTAGTATTCTTAATTTTTTCCGTTTACTGGGGGTAAAGAGTGTGTAAAAATTGTCCCTAATGTCTATTGTCCCAAGAGCTTTCGACCACTTCTTTAGCCGTTTCAAAGAGGTTTGTTACTAATTGTTGTTAATCTTTGGTAATTGCTTTTCATTGTTGTCTTTTAAGATGTAATTGTTTGGTACACATTTTATGATAGTAGAATTTATTACATGCCACGTGAAAGGAACGTGGCTGGAATTTGAGTTGGTCTCTTTTTATTTAAAAAAAAAACTTCCGTTTCCGTTGTTAAATACAGTAAAACTAATATTGGGTGCGAGATGTTTTATAAAGAGTGCTCTTTTATCCATAAAATGTGAATATCTTCTTTGTTATGCCAAGTTTTTGTCATGGCATAGTCATAATCTATAACCTGACTGTTCAGTTCTTAGAAGTAATTGGCGGAGGTATATGCTCGTTGAGTGCTTTTAATGTTGGCTTATATAATCTTTAATTAATAGATAATACATGCATATACAGAAAGAGAAATAGACGAAAAATTCTACATATAGTCTCTGTTACAGTAAGATAACTGGTCTCCTATTTGGGGAATCTAGAATAGATAGATAGATAGATAGATAGATAGATAGATAGATAGATAGATAGATAGATATGAACAAACTTAGATAGATATGAACAAACTTAGATAGATAGATATGAACAAACTTAGATAGATAGATATGAACAAACTTAGATAGATAGATAGAGATGAACATAGATAGATAGATAGATAGATAGATAGATAGATAGATAGATAGATAGATATGAACAAACTTAGATAGATAGATAGATAGATAGATAGATAGATAGATATGAACAAACTTAGATAGATATGAACAAACTTAGATAGATATGAACAAACTTAGATAGAGATGAATAGATAGATAGAGATATGAACATAGATAGATAGATAGATAGATAGATAGATATGAACAAATAGATAGATAGAGATAGATAGATAGATAGATATGAACAAATAGATAGATAGATAGATAGATAGATAGATAGATATGAACAAACTTAGATAGATAGATAGATAGATAGATAGAAGATAGACAAACTTAGATAGATAGATAGATAGATAGATGATATGAACAAACTTAGATAGATATAGATAGACAGATAGATAGATAGATAGATGTGAACAAACTTAGATAGATATGAACAAACATAGATGAATAGATGAACAAATAGATAGATAGATATGAACATAGATAGATAGATAGATAGATAGATAGATAGATAGATAGATAGATAGATATGAACAAACTTAGATAGATAGATAGATAGATAGATAGATAGATAGATAGATAGATATGAACCAACTTAGATAGATGACCCGTTGAAATGTACCTGAAAACTTGAGAAGGGGCTTAAAATGCCGAAAGCCGATGATGACAGACAGTAAGTTGTTGTTGATGTTTATTCTACATCTTAGCATGAAACATCCCATTAGAGCCAAATTGCACCTTTCAATGATATTTTAAACGTGCAGGTTGCAGGAATCATTTTGAAAAGCGGCCTGCTACTTTTATCGTATTTAATCCATGAACTGCTGAGTTATTTTCGTCAAAAGACGTGAAAAAATACTTGTCGAAACTGAAGCATGCCACGGTGTTAGATTCACGGCACAATGGAGTAATGAATAGAAGTTTAGACTGAGGTATCGGAGAGCCAAGTCTGAACTCCAGTCCAGTTCGTTACATCTCGTTACATGCAAATATCCTTGGGAAAAGGTATGAATAAATCTCTTGTCCCCTACCCACCCATGTATGAGTAAATAGCAGGACAGACTAAGTCTTATAGTCTTTGGTTAGCAACCGGTCTAGATGGAGAACAGCCTCTGGATTCAAACTCCCCAGCTATGAGTTAAATAGCCTAACCAAACCGCAACTGACCAAGTTTTATGATTACAATTACACCCATAAAGCAGGGGTCCCTCCAACAGGACTGAGAAGTCCCTAAATTTCGACATACATCTAATGAGAACTACACAAAAACCAAAAAAAAATCATGAGAAAAATTTTGATATACAGGGTGGGGCACAAAACGAGGGATAAAACAAAAAGTAAGTACTTTTTCCACCACTCCTTTAGCCATTTCATTTAATTCGTGAAATAATGATTAAAATGACACTTAATATCATACTAGAAGGGAAACAGTGTTTTAATATACAGCGTGTCCCAAAAGATTTGGCATCATTTCGCAGGCCAATAATTTTGGCAATTCTTGTTGAAATGACCTCAAATTTTCACAGAATGTATAGAAACATATCTAGATTTTATATTTAATGTTTTATTTTTGTTCTGTTTTCAGGTTGAGTCATGCCGTTCACTCCCAAAGAGAAGGCATTTTGTGTCTTGCAATATGCTCGCATACAGTCATCCAAGATTGTGTAGCGTGTCTTCAACGCAGCGTACCTTCAATGCAAAGTTTTATGGGGATATGTGAAGGGACTGGTCTATGCCCCGTTCTCTTCCTTCTAGTATTGATGAACTCAAGCAGAGAATCATTTCCGCACTGGATAGTGTTACCGTAGACATGCTACAACGTGTTTGGCAAGAGCTTAACTACCGACTTGACATGTGCCGTGTCACAAGCGATGCACATATTGAACACTTATGAAATCGGTCCCATAATAAACTTAAACTGTTCAATTTCGGTGAGCTAAACTTCGTAGTTTTTTAGATAATCCCTTTTAAAATGATGTCAATTTTTTTCAGACACCCTGTATTTTATAATAAATGGTGTTCATCTGTATGTATGCATTTCCAAAATGCAAAACTACAATATTTAGTCTCTTAAAACCACATATATGAGAACCTTAGGACGTTCGTTTTCTGACCATGAGACCCGGGTTCGAATTTCACCATGGTCGATTTGTCAGTAAAGTGACTATCGCTGTTAACGGTTACCAGTCTGGAGGAGGCGGCACCTTTAGAAAGTATCTGAAAAACCATACCACGAGTTGACCCAAGCCTTGTGAGTGAAATTGGATAGACCGAACTGTCGGTGGCTGTGCTAGCACGAAATCACAAGTCATCGTGACCGAGGGTTTGAACGTGCTAGACTTGTTCAGACTGTTCATCACACTGGATAACGCGCTCTCTCCCAAAAACTGTAACTAAGGACCACTCAACATAGCTGCAGTATAAACCACAGGTAACCCCTGTGGGTGATGAACAAACAGAAATACACCTGAGCAGGCGTCTGCAATGGGGATTAAAAGCCGTTCTAATATACTGGCATCATCGGATTCGAATCTATGCGATATTTACATTTTTATATATTCATATTTCATATCAACAAATAACAATTTCTTCTTCTTCTTCTTCTTCTTCTTCTTCTTCTTCTTCTTCTATGTGCGACTTCCCTTTAGGACATAGGCGATCATGGCTCTCTACAACTTCCTATCCCTTGTGTTCCTTTGCTAAAGCTCTCGACATCTATTCACGCCAGCTCATCGTGTAAATGGCTCACTGCTTTCCCTTATCTCTCTTATCCTGTGAATGTTAAGTTTTCTAATCCCTCTTTCCTCATTATGAGTCCGTAGTATTTCTGCTGCCACTTCCTGATTTTAAGTGGTCTTTTCTTTTTTTTTTTTTCCATTTTCCTTAAGACTTCCCGTTTTCTTACACGCTCTAAGCAATAACATCCTGATTTAATTATATTAAAACAATATTCAGTTTTTCTTTCCGGATACTTTTCTAGACTATTGTATCTCCAAGAGATGTTACGTAGAACTAAATCACAGTTCTATGCATCCATCCCTGAAATTTCTACAAACTTACGCGAAAGCAGCATGCGCTTTGCAGGACACCGCTGGTCAACAAAACAAGAACTCACGAGTCATCTACTGCTTTGGATACCCAGCCAAGGAGCAAGGAAGGTTTATCGCCCAGCAACCACCTACATTGACCAGCTATGTTATGACACAATTCCACCCTAATGAACTTCTGACTATGATCCAGGGCCGTGATGGTTGGCGTTATAGCCTCAAAAATGTCCGAGCTAGAACGATTGAACAATAAAAATAAACTAAGCTGGAAATAAATTAACATACAGAGAATATTAGAAAACCTGCAGAAACTGCTCCGGTCTCATATGTTACATGAAAAGTCACGAGTAAGCTGAACAGACTTTACAAAACAGGCCAGGCCCTGTACAAAACAACTTAGTTTGCCACATCTGCAATAAGTATTGTCATTGATTTGCTGCTTTCAAGAGCTATTGTCATTTTTCATTCGTTTTCTACGGTTTATCAACCCTTTGCAAGTTAGTTAAAGCCAGAAAATATTTTTTGATTGTAAGAATTTTTTGAAGATAATAATTATTTAGTGATACAAGTTCTACTAATTAACCCATAGTTGGAGGGAGAAGAGGTGGATACATATCTTTCCCAAGAGTATTTGCACGTGAGGGAATATAACGAACCCAACGGAAATTGGAACTCGACTCTCCGATTAAACTACACATCCAAGCTTACAGCACCTGGTATTCCCAAGCGGTCACCCATCTAGGTACTGACCAAGACTGATGTTGCTTAACTTCGGTGATCGTACAGGAACCGGTGTTTCTATGTGGTGTGGCTGTAGCCATTGTCGTTTTCATGAGAACAAAAAATATTGAACAAATTTGTCAACATACTCGTTTAACGAGTCAATAGTCATCACATGGATGGTGGTTATCTATGTGTAGCTTACATGTGGCACAAGGCTAAAGGTAGGGCGCACCAGGAAGAATCAAATTCACTACTCAGTCGTAATTGATCTTGTGAGACAAGCTTGCTAACCATTTCACCACATCGAAGTGCCCAAGTCATCACATAATGTAACAATAATACTGTAGGGTTTTAGATACGAACCCTCACCTACCAAGCAGATAATTGATATGAGTTGGAGGGAATTAGTCCAGACCTAAAAAAGGGGGTTTGAACAAGACATGCCGTAACCAACATACAGACTCACACCAATATAGAACAATATATATTCTTCGATGGTAACCGACGACCTCAACTTAACATAAAGGTAATCTTTCAGAGCGGTGTTTCCCAACAACTAAGTTGTTTTGTACAGGGCCTGGCCTGTTTTGTAAAGTTTGTTCAACTTGTGGCTTTTCATCTAACAGATGAGACTGGAGACCGGAGCAGTTTCTGCCGGTTTTCTGACACACCCGGTATGTTAATTTATTTCCAGCACACAAAGGGATACTGAGAGTTTTTTTTTTTTTGTTGTTGTTTTTTTTTTTTTTTAATCTCATTTGGGGTGAGGCGAATATACCCAGGCGGGCAATGAGCATTTATCCATTTTTTCTCAAAATTTTCAAAAATTATTCTATATCGGCTACAAAAGGAAATTTCTGAAAGGTATTTGTGGGAAACTATCAAACGTTTCTTCATTGCTTTTCCAACTTCCTATAGAGCTGAATGTGGTTTCAACAGAGTTACACAGCTTACTAAACAAAGACACCACCTGCAGATTACAAAACGAAAAGATCTAGGATTATTTCTAAGCAGCATGGAATCTAGAACAAGAGCTTTAGCCAGTAGAAACCAAAGTTAATCGCATTAAAAACATTGAGATAAGCTATCAAATAAGTTTTTTCTTGTTTTAATCATTGGCATTTATAATATAAATGAAAACAATATTACGATTATTTTATACTAAGTGTTATCTTCCTATGAAAAGTGAATTCAGTATAATATTCAAAATTTAATTTGACGGCTGGTGGGGGGGCGTTGACAAAAACGGTTCTACTTAAAGGGGGCGCTGATTGACAAAAGGTTGAGAAACACTGTTTTAGGGTACAACCATCACCTATTGTACACCCTTGTGCAAATTAACTGAAACAAAACGAATAATTATTATTTACATTTTTTCGTATTTTTTCCAATGAAACATGACCCAGTGCAAATGTTAGTACTTCGTATGTCCATTCCACGAAGTCGTTCCTTGCTGATTGACAACAAATTCTCGATTGGATTTAAATCAGGAGAGTTTCCGGACCAGGCTATACTACTGATTTTTTCACTGATAAGGCTTGCCAGTGTGTTCGTGCAGCGTTACAGTTTCCGTACGCTTCCTTGGAGGAACGTCTATCACAGACAATGGCCGCAGAACAACTAATCAACTGTCGAGACAATAGTGTCTGGGCGTGATAAAATCTGATGCAATCACGGATGACGCAATATTTTTCAAGGACAAATTTCATCATACAAACCGAAAATAGATTCATATTACTGCACACCACTGCAAATGACCTAATGTAAGGAAAAAATAGAAATCTATTACCCCCTGTCACTGCAGTGGATTTAAAACTGACCGTATGGTGAAAGAAAGGAAAATAAAGTGGCTGTATCAGTTAATTTTGCACAAGGGTGTAAGTACACCAATGAAACATGACCCAGTGCAAATGTTAGTACTTCGTATGTCCATTCCACGAAGTCGTTCCTTGCTGATTGACAACAGATTCTCGATTGGATTTAAATCAGGAGAGTTTCCGGACCAGGCTATAACTGTTTTTTTTCACTGATAAGGCTTGCCAGTGTGTTCGTGCAGCGTTACAGTTTTCGTACGCTTCCTTGGAGGGACGTCTATCACAGACAATGGCCGCAGGACAACTAATCAACTGTCGAGACAATAGTGTCTGGGCGTGATAAAAATCTGATGCAATCACGGATGACGCAATATTTTTCAAGGACAAATTTCATCATACAAACCGAAAATAGATTCATATTACTGCACACAACTGCAAATGACCTAATGTAAGGAAAAAATAGAAATCTATTACCCCCTGTCACTGCAGTGGATTTAAAACTGACCGTATGGTGAAAGAAAGGAAAATAAAGTGGCTGTATCAGTTAATTTTGCACAAGGGTGTAAGTGCACCAATGAAACATGACCCAGTGCAAATGTTAGTACTTCGTATGTCCATTCCACGAAGTCGTTCCTTGCTGATTGACAACAGATTCTCGATTGGATTTAAATCAGGAGAGTTTCCGGACCAGGCTATAACTGTTTTTTTTCACTGATAAGGCTTGCCAGTGTGTTCGTGCAGCGTTACAGTTTTCGTACGCTTCCTTGGAGGGACGTCTATCACAGACAATGGCCGCAGGACAACTAATCGACAGTCGAGACAATAGTGTCTGGGCGTGATAAAAATCTGATGCAATCCCGGATGACGCAATATTTTTCAAGGACCTAATGTAAGGAAAAAATAGAAATCTCTTCCTCCCTGTCACTGCAGTGGATCTAAAACTGACCGTATAGTGAAAGAAAGGAAACTAAAGTGGCTGTATCAGTTAATTTTGCACAAGGGTGTAAGTACAATTTTTACGTCAACTTTTATTGTTGTTTTGCATTGTTATAGTTAATAAAAATGGTAAATGTATTTCCCACCCCCCTCTTTTCATTTCCCTTTAGTACCTCATTCTGATAAGTTTTAGTGCTTCTTGACATAGGGAGCATTTATAAAATAAACTCAACAATAGAATACTTGTTTTGTCTTCATTGTTACATGCTTGTGAGACTTGGGTTATTTACTGCAGACAGAGGTAAGGCTGGAACGAGAAGAGAAATTTGCAAAAAATAGGAAAATATGAGCATGAACAGAAAACCTATAACAATAGGTTTTCAGTTGAGGCCAGGTGTTGTAGTTTAGTAGCTACTTCTTCTATGAAATATCTCAATCTCGTAGAAAAGAAAGAACATTAAAGAAAAAGAAATATTTTCAAAAAGCTTCAGAACCAGCATCCGCTTCTGTTTGACAAGCTCATCTTGAGCACCTTATTTGAGCCTTTCAATGAAACATACCTGGTGGTTAATAAAATCAACGACTGAAATATTAAAGAATGTTATAGAATACCGAGGAGCCCATATTAATATGTCCCAATCTTCGTAAATACGTTGGACACTATTGTAAGTGTGGGTAATATGCTGTCTAAGTAGTCCACTACTAGCAGTGGTTTACCTACTTCACGCCGCTGGCGAGTATTGTATTTTGTTGACGTTATAAAGATTACCATTTCATTTCCATCCTCCGTATCTTTGAGATGTAAGACATGCTAGGGACACTTGACGTGTAATGATAACTGGATCTTCTCTGACAGCCTGCAGAATCTGTTCTTCATGGTTAGGCATACGAGTGGATCTCAGTTTTCTTCGATCCATAGTCTGTGCTGCCACGAACCGTGTCTCAGCAACGCTACGATAAACAGCAGTAAACTCTGGATGCCTCGTCGGCCTTCGGTCTGGAAACGCAATCCGATACAGTCGTGCTGCCTCGCGTCCATTACTATTCGCGCGGCCGTAAGTAAAAATCATACCTGCCTGCTCACAATATGAATATCCTGACATTGTTAAATGGAACACTCGTCAGTTGACTCACTCCTACACACGTTAAACGTTGAAAACAGACCAGCCACAAATATACACGAATGACAAATGTTGCCTAGTCGACATCGCATCACAGCGCCATCTACTTTTCTTTAAACTTAACTCAAAAATGAAGGGTTTGTGGACATACGTTGATATGGACTTTTGTCTTTGTTTTGGTGTGAGAAACTTGCCCCCAAAGTTTGTAAAAGTATTTTTGATATACACTATATATAGCAAAGAGGAGTGATAGAGGAAAGGATGAAGAGAAGGATAGGGGATAGATCACGGCATCTGGAGACGTCGATTGACATTACATTTGAATAGTTGGAAATTGTAGCTATCAGGGAAACAGGAAAAGGGGAGGGAGTTTTACAGGCGAGAGGTGCGAGACATGAAGCTATTGGAGTAGAAGAGACGGCTACATTTAACAGTTTCTACAGTGAAAGGGTGTGAGCGAGATGCCAGCCTAGTTGAACGCTTGAATTCATGAAGTCTGGGAACCAGCTAAAGCAACTCATCGGAGCAGTTACCATGAAAGTATTTGTATATAATTTAGATACGTTCTTTCTACCTATTTTCGACAACATTCTTTTCATATTCGAGAATTAGCTTTTTTGTGCGGTTGTTAAAAGACATGAGGAAAACACCGTGTTGGCTCATATTCCGAGAGCTTTCGACATAGCATAATGTCATCGTCAGAGTATTGTTAAATAGAGAGTAAGTATTAAGTGTTCATGGTTGTGAAGGACAAAATTTGTTGTGGTCATCCGAAGATTACGATTTTATATGTGGAGTTAGGAACACTGTGTCATGGCTTGGTTGAAATACATCGTTTAAGGGGAGGTAACTAGGTATACTGTGTATACTTTTGAGTAGTCACTAGATAAAGGAAAAACTATTAATGACAAGCTCTAACATTTAAAGACTATTATTGTACACATTTTAAAATGTTTATGGAGTATTCTTTATTAATTTCATGGAGGTTTGATTTCAATGTTTTTTATATGAATAGCTTCGAGAATTTTTAGTTTGTGTTTATTCTTTTCGTGGAAAAGTATGGAGGTATTTTCGATGAGGATTTTTGCGAGTATAGACAGATATGTTGTAAATGTTTAGAAATATTGAAAGTATTAATCAGGTGAACACTTAGCCTATCTGAAAGCTTTGTTGTCGTGTATCCAACATATATATTATATTTATTATTGGAGATGCAGTCTT